ATTTGGTAGTCATAAATGTTACCTATGAATTGTTCAGAAAAAAAAGAAAATTTTGGAAAGAGTGTTGCAGAACTTTCTTCCCAACCTAGTATAATGGGCAGATGAAATCATTGGAAGACTTTCAGAAATTAGACACAGGCCCCCTTTTTATTGACGAACTTCATCATTGAAGGACGCATATGTAGCTCAGAATTATTTAGGATTATTTTGCCATTTATCTCTTTCCACATCCGACAAGAATAGTCAAAAATGTGCATTGAGCACGTATTGAACAACGACACGTTCTTGCACGCAAATAATGTTAAAGGTTTAAGTGAACTCGAGTCCAAACATCACTAGCCTAGCAAGGTCGTTAGCTTAGCTTCGGCAAAGAACCACCAAGCCGTTCATCGTCTCTGGTGCGTGTAATACTGTAGCCGTGGATGTTTCGGAGTTAGACTGTCGCAGGACTGATAGTAACGGCTCTTACACTGGTTAGAACCCGAAAGCAATTTGTTGCATGGGGTGATTTGTGAAAGAATAATAGGAGCAAAGACGAAAGAAAAGAAGTTGCTTCCGGACAAATAAGGATCTTTTTTAAGCGACGGAGAAACAATTATGAAAATAAGTGCGATTTCCACGAATATGCGATTGACGGATGCGAATCTGACTCAATAAGGAATCTAGGTTACAAGCCATGAAAGTACTTGCATTTCTAGGCAACATTTGTGAGGTTACGAGCAGAGGTTTATGGGGTGCGATGAGTCGAGGAATTTTTTACTGGAGCCAATGAGGAGTAAAATAAAAGATTTAGGATAGCCAGGCTTATGTTCGGTGCTTTGGAGGGAGACGATTGGGCGGAATGTGTATGGACGTTTACGGCAGTACCATCGTAGGCATGATCTTTTTACTGAAATGCAGTGGAATAATGAAAAAAGCTAATAGCACATATCTACGACACTGAAGTGCTGTACCTTTCAGGATCGGGGGCATAATCGTATAATTGCTCAAGAAATATTTTCACGTTCGAGCCAGCCATTCATTCCAAATTTTGGACTGAGAAGCCGAAGGGCCCCCTCATGCTCGCTTGTGTCAAGGGAGGCAAGCATTTGAAACTATAAACACTGCCAAGGATGTAGACCGGCGTCTCTCAGCCATACTAGATTGACCGTTTTGAAAGCTTCTGTTGATAGCGTTGGTGAAGCAAGGTTCTCTACGACGTCATCACTTCAAATTATACCACACCAGTCGCTGACCTAATGGTCATCCTAAGCTCAAGAACTCATTATAGGACCAGCCTTGAAGTCGTACCTACTCGGATCATTATCGCCCTTCATCTTACTATTTTTGCTTGCCACTACCCTCATTTTCGTCGAAAGGTGGTTTCCCTGTCGTTCAGTAGGCGAAAAAAATCCATCAGGTAATCGTAACGAAGATATTTTTGATTAAAATAGCTACCCTGCTAGTAGAGGTAACAGCGGTGCGTGATGCGGCCATGGCAGTCTGATCAAGGTACTATAAAGTCCCCAACTGACCAAAGCAGGCATGCCTTCCACCTCTTCCGTCACATCCCCTAGATAACCTAGCTCCACAGTTATGTGAAGATCAAGTAGCTGGAAATTGATAGCCTCGTCCATTCCCATGCAGGCCAATCCTAGCCATGCTGTAAGAAAGATGATCCGTGTCGCACATTTGCAAAGAGCCAGTTGCATCACTCATTATACCTTAAGTCGAAGTGCAGCTTTAGGGTGCATTGAAAAAGGAAAACCTGGAGTGGCAACTGATTGCTTTCACAAATCAGAATAATTTTTGTACTTGGTAAGCCTCCCTTTCAACAACTCCTGTTCCGCTATCCACCTCTTTCAAAATACAGTGCGAATTCAGTCGGGCGCTCAGAATCAGGAAGAAAGCGAGCGGGCCCTCCCAAAACACTGCTCTCTTTTCTTTTCATTTTTTAGTAGCAAATTTATTACATCCCAAGCGTTTTTGCTTTGCTACAGGATCGTTATAATGGAATCCCTTTTTTTGGTCAAGACTCGACGACTTGTCGGGATCCAAATCTGGTTCCGAGCTCTAATTTGCAGCATGTCCGGCCAAGTGTCCAACGATGCTAGCTATTAGGTTTGCACCTGTGGGGCCTTAAGCATTTAGCGCTTACAAACACGTTTGTCAAATCATTCCAATGATTTGTGCATCTCCTGCTGCGTGCACTATGCCTTTACTGCTGGAAAGACTGGATTGAGACCTCCCAAAATTTCGCGGACCTTGCTTCATGAGGATCATTGAGGGCCTGACTTCCGTCTTCACCAACATACCTGAAATTTTACCTCAGGTATCCTAGTGAAAGCTCTAAATGCGCAACCGCTAATCCATTAGGGTTATCAGGAATGGTGGGATGGGAAACATGGCATTGTGAAATTGCGAGAGGCGATTTATGCTTACGTGTATAATCGTATACTAGGCGACCGAGATGAATGCCCAGCCTAGATAACAGGTTTTCCCTTTATTCCCTAATGTTGATTGTGAGGTCACGGAAGCCCACATGTAGGGCATAACAATAGTATTGGTGTCTCATTTTCATGATTCCCCTACAAAATCAAGGACGCAGATAAACCTGAAGGTCAGTTTTTCGCTAGGATCTCACTTTTATTGGTGCATTTGGGAAAGCCTTTTCTGCATGATCGAGAGCTTGACCGGGCCACCTGCAAATTAGGGTTCCAGACCAGTTTCAGATCCCGAGGATGACGATTCGTTGAAAGTTGAAAGGTTGACCACTAAACTAGTTCTATCATCACAAAAACCAGAACTACTTAATATAGCGCTACTGGGTTCCAAGAAAATCGAGAATTGAATTCACTCCCGCTTTTGCTATGAGTTTTTAGATGAAGCAATTAGACTCCTGTGAGATTCCAGTGAAAGTGCTCTCCGAAATGATCCATTACAGGAAACCAGTTCAAAAGGTGTACTTCTGGCCATCATTGACAGCACCAGAGAGGGAAATTCTTCGCGACGCTTTCTATCAAATCGGACGACGTACCTGCATTAAATTTTTAGAACAGGTGAATATTTTTAAGACGATAGTAGTAAAGAATTTCAGATTGCACACGTAATATGTACATGCATTCAGAACGTGTGCAGAGTTTGTTGAGATTGCAAATGATACTTGTGAGGTCAAGTTCACTGAAACGAAAAAAGCCGAGTTTTCTTAACCCAGCAAGTAATATCAAAATTTACCTGGAAGCAATTTTCCAAGAACAAACTTGGCAATTGCTTACAGTCAGTAAAAAACTACGATCAGTTCGATTTTCTAGAACAAAGGCGGATTTAATTAAAGGCAAGAATCAGGATTACATTGATGGGTTGATTCCACTCAAATGTGAAAGTAGGGATGAGAGGTGGACCGCCAGTGGAGAAAAAAGGAAAGAAAATCCTGAAATACACAGGAAATACGAGCATTTTGCTCTATGCTGTGGAGAAGTTCAAAAGGCAGGGAGATGAGCAGATCAACGCAGCGACGCAGACAAGACATCGATCGGTGGGCGGACCATGTTATGTTTGGTGGAGTCTGTTAGAAGTTCATGGCGCCTAGGGTCCTGGTGACGGGTTTCGATGTAGAAAGGTGGCGCTAACTTTGCACTTGCGTGCCCAGCACTTCTAGCCATGGTAAGGGCTTCTTAGGTGGGTCTGAGCCCGAACTTTGCCTTTAAGGAGGGGAAGCATAGCCTTCTTAATTAAATCCGACAAGTAGTGGGAAGACAAGCGCACCGCCTGAGGACGCGGACCGTTACGTATTCCGCTTTGAAAAATACATA